GAATAGTTACATTAATGGACCTCACGGACGGTGTTTGGGAAAGTTCTACTGTATCGTTACTTAAAGACATATTTATAAAGATCAAAAAGTACACGAATATAGTGCGAATGTCACAGAGAAAAGTGAGTCGATAAAAACAATGATAAAAACAAATGGTACAATTTATAACAAAGAACGGACTTACTAAATTGCACCAAAATATCAATTGTTTGTAAAAATATCGTTGTTTATTATGAATATTATCGTTATGTTCTATAATGTTTGTGAGATAATGTACGTATAATTAAAATAATGAGATAATAAATCCACAGTTATAATTATAATCCAAATGATAGTTACAATTGTTATCGAGTACTTTGGATTTTAGGAATTGGATTAAGTCGTTCAAGATTGTTTCGTGTTCGCGCGTCGGGATCGCCAATTATGTGGTGGTCGGTATCCGATATAATCCTTAACTTCGTATACAGTTCGTCTTGCTAACCGTTCTATATAACTTCCCAACGGTATATTAATCAGAAGGCAAATACGAAGTGTTGATTACGTTTATTGCGAGACCACACACATATATCCAAAATTACCGATGCATTAACGAGCATTACGAGTTGTGCCGAACAGCAAACAGGCAAGTAAGCGACTGAGCGAATATAAGTAATCGAGTACAATCAAACGAGCGAGAAAGCAGAGTCGGCCATATGAATAACATGGACATATATATAGCATGTGAAATGAATGAGTAATCGAATCAAACAAGCAGTTAGTAGTAAGACTAGCAGAGTGAATAAATGCGTAGGCCGTAATCAATATTCAAGCATGCGTATTTCATACAAGCACAAAACAATAATAAGGGTACAATAAATTGTTCTAGTGCGGATGGCTTTGTCCGCTAAATAAGTTAGCTAAAGGGCTTAACTGAGTTAAATGAGAATAAACCCATTTGCACGTGAGTTGCTATAAACACGTAAATGTACTTGATGAATAAGTTACATTACAGGTGACTTTCATGACCATTGGACAATTCAGGGATGATAAATGATAATTAAGGCAAATACATCTGATTGTTTAACTACAATCACTTGACACCAACGTCGTCTTTCTATTATTGAAACGTGACTGTCCACCAATTTACAATTTAGTTCTAAGTGTCTAGTACATCACTTGTTGAGATTGTGATGATAATATCGTTGGGATGAAGGATGAAATCTCCACGACCAAACGATCCATCTCAGAGAAGAAAACTCCGTCAAGATCACTTGTTCGTGAGAAATTAAAAAGGAAATAATGATTGTTAGATAGTAATTAAAAGAATTATGGTCTGTGGAACACTGTCTTTGTGCATATCTCATTTCAATCAATTATTACTATGAGTTTTATAGATTTTGAGAAGGATGTTGTAAAATGGTTCGATGATTGTTTATAGTATTTCATTGTTCACTTAAAAAATCTGTAACATATATAGACCAATTGATTAAGTTGCACTCAAATGGTCATTGACTTTCGAGATGTCACACGTTCTTCGATTGACTTTTCTATCTAATGTGACCTAGTAAGTATATCTTTTTTTCTATTCATGATATGGAATACATGCTGCAGAACAAAAAGTGCACTGATTAAAGTGACCACTATTTGTAAAAACACAATTGAAAATGTTTCAAATTATCAGAGAGGGCGAGACTGAAGGCCCTGGGTCCGAGTCCCGCGAGCGGGATCGTGGATGCGCGCTGCTGACGAGTCTCACAATAAGACGAAACGGTCGTTCAGTGCTTCCAGATTTTCAACGGTGGTCTAACATCAATCGGTTCATGATCTCAGTCAAAAACTTAATCTTTACAACCTCTCTACTAGAGAAGAAAAGACCGAGATCATTAAGAACCACAAAATTTACGTGTTCTAAAATCTCATCAGTAAATGCGTCATTGCGATAAACAATGAGTTGTATCATTTTAAAGAAAATATCCACTTCACTATCGTGAATACTAAGGAATCCATGATCTGATATCATTATAGACATCATTTAAAACCTTATTTCTTAAAATCCATGATTGTAGGAAGGTGATGAATTGTCATGTGTACGAGTGTTGATCATCTCAACTACTTGAAATCGTGTATATAGTGGCTTTCACTTCATATGTAATAGTTATTGGTTAGTATTATTGGATTGTGTGTTTTGTTGTTGAGGTTGTCCGTTATCAATGTTATCAGTCCTAGTTTATCAACCTACTCTTTATTCAGTATACCATTAATAAAGTATCTCTTTATGAGTTTATTAAAGGAATTGATATGAAAACTATATGATTCATGCCTTATGTAATATCTATGCTTGGAAGTGATGACCTAATATGTTTAACACTGTAATTTTTGAGAACTATGTAACGGTATTTCTGTTTCATAACTTATGTAACTACGAAGAATTTTCAGTATAGGGTTGTGGAGATTATTAAGTTTTCGATTGAGATTATGAATCAATAGATGTTAGACCACCTTGAAAACGTGGAATCATTGGACGGTCGTTTCGTCTTAGCATGGGACTCCTCAACAGTGCGTATTGAGCGATTCATGATCAAAAACTTAATGATCTCCACAATCCTATGCTGATAATTACCATGTGCTCACTAGTGGCTAGCTTCATGAAGGAATTCTCGGAGTTCTAGTGAGAAGCTATGACCAGTGGAGATAATCCGTGTCGGGTAGAGACAGGTACCTACCTCGGTACAATAGAAGATGGTCGCGCGATTTCGTGGATTGGGTGAGGTTAGACATTAACACCATTGGATTGCCGACTCAGTGATCTAGAGTTTAAGCGTTCGCGCGGGATTGAAGGCTCTGGGTTTGAATCCCGCGAGTGGGGTCGTAAATGCTCACTGTTGAGAAGTCTCAAGTTAGGACGGAACGACCGTCCAGTGCTTCCAGGTTTTCAGTGGTGGTCTAACATCAATCGGTTTATGATCTAAATCGAAGAATTTTCAGTCAGTTTTATTCCAAATCAGAAAACAGTCTTTTTAAGTGACTTATTTGTGTGAAAAAGACAATAATATTACAAAGAATTTTCAATAGATTTTTCTACTTATGAAAGCATATAAATTCGTCTTTATGGATATGGATTATTGATCCTTTCCAATCCTTATAACGACCTGTATAGATTTTTAAGAGTCCACATATTGTTCTTGGTTAGGGTTAGTTATTTAAGCTAATGATTAACGATTTAGTGTTGGGATTTAGGAACGGAGTCGATTTATCTGTTAGATATAGTCTATATAAGAAAAAGCCAAACATAACTAGTTTTACTCTATGTTGCCACGAACCAATTTGCCGTTTTCATTTTAATCATTTTAAGCATTATTTGAAAGTATTATTTATATATTTATTTGAAAACATAAACATTGGTACAAGGAGGCATCAAATAGATATGCGCCACATAAATCATTCGATTTATGTAAGGACTAGGATATTGCCCGGGTACCAAGACCGAAGCAGGTGGTTTTCTTAGGGGACCACACCTGGAGCCTTCCACCTAAAGGTCTGATCTAAAAGTCAGTGGAGCAACTTAAGGTGATGAAGTCCCATTCTAATCGGTGATCAATAATTGGTTCATACGCTATTTGTTAGTTTCAGTTGGAATCAGGGTTTTTCTACTTCCCTAGGTGAACTCTCCGTGTCCATCGACCCGGTTAAAACGCCGAATATTCGCTTTTCGTTCTCTCAATTTCGTAAGAAACGCCCCGGAATCGAAAAGGTAGTGAGTGGGACCTCCCTTGGTGTGGTTGTATACGCGTGACCATCTGAGAGTATTTCAAGAGGTAGAACGGACTCTCCCCACTCTCGACCGTACCAGGGTATATAGCAATGTAAACTGTGGTTTTCATTATTAATGTCAAGTAAGTCAGTCTCAAGTTTGTCTGACTTTGAAATCAATTAACAAGGGATTATTCACAACGTTTTTCACTGTTCAATAAACGTGTTGTATACAATAGTTGCAGACAATTTCCCATTCATTTAATGGGTGGATGTTGCATATCGGAGTGTTATTTTAACAGAAAAATTTCATTTCAAGTGTCTGTAAATGTACACAACTATCTTCTTTGTCCATATTAGTTTAATGAATTCCAATATTCCAGATGACTATCATATGCAGCACATACCCCCTAAATATACGTGAAATTTCCCGAAGACATGCGACATACTCATTTGACATTTGTAATGTTGCAGATAACATCCCTGATTAATCGCACAAAGTCAAATTAACAAACATCGATTGATCGTTTCTAAAGTGAATCAACATTCACATTAGTCAGAATGGTGGCTGAGTTCATATTTGTAATTTTGTAACCCTTGAAATCACGTAGCTGAAAAGTATCATCGATATACAAGGAGAATCTCATGCAGACGTAAAGGCTAGGATTGACAAAGCAAGAGCCGCATTCCTACAATTAAAGAACATATCGGACTCAAAACAACTGTCAACCAATATCAAAGTCACAGTCTTCAATACGAACGCCAAGACAGTTCTCCTGTATGGAGCTGAAACTTGGAGAACTACTACAACCATGATCAAGAAGGTACAAGTAGTTATAAATAGCTGTATACTCAACATACTCTACATCCTTTATCAGGATGTAATCAGCAACAGTGTTCTATGGGAGAGGTTAAACCAGTTTCCAGTCGAAAAGGAAATTAGGAAAAGACGATGGAAGTGGATACGACATACATTACGCAAATCATCAAACCGCATCACGAAGGAAGCCCTAACTTGAAATCCTGAATGGAATGTAAAAAGTGGAAGGCCAAAGAACACATTTCGTTGGGAAATAAAATCAGTTATGAAAATAATGAATAACAACTGGAAAGGATTGTTCAGTACAGGGTTGGATGGAGAGTACTCCTCTAAAAGGAGTAACAGGTCTAAGTAAGTAAGTAAGTCAAAGTTCATATTGAAACATCCCATTGTCTTAATAATCAATTCCATAATCATATATGTTTTTTTTTGTTGTTGTTCAACATTTCAGGTGGTATGACATTTATGTTTCCATTGATCAATTGTTTAATTCATGTTGCTATGTATACTTATTATGGATTAGCAGCTGCTGGTGCCAATCGTTATTTATGGTGGAAAAATTATTTAACATTAGCTCAAATGATTCAATTTATTATTTTTATCCTTCATCAAGGTCAAATCTTTCTACAATCTACACCATGTAATTATCCTAAAATATTCCCAGCTGCTATTGTATTATATGCTACAGTATTTTTAATATTATTCTCTAATTTCTATATTAAAGCTTATTGGCATAAACAACGATTAGCTAAAAGTTTAGAGAAACGTCAACAGCAGAAGCAGCAACAACAACAACAACAGAATGTTCATTTCATTGATACAATACAACATAATGGTGGACAATTGTTTCATGAGAAGAATGGTACCATTAAACAAATGAATGATTATGATAAATCTTATATAAATAAGTCAACATTACATAAAATTGATTAATAGTCAAAATATGATTTGTTTATCTTTCACAAAGTAATCAGTTTTATTTGTAACCATGTTTGTTTTTGTTTGTTTTGAAGAGGAAGAAGAAGAAGAAGAAGAAGGGGGAGAAGAAGAAATTGCTTATTTTCCTTTGTCCCCCCCCCTCCCTTTAAGTCAAATATGTAAGTGATGAGTTCTAGGAGATTTGTAATTTCTCTTACAATTACTCACTAAACAATACATGTACACATATCATCTATTATTTTCTTATATCATATAACAAAATGATGATATGAGATCTTTTTAAGAATGGAATCAAAGTTTATTTAAATGACCCCTCTGTGAAACTGTAATCTGTATGTATGAGTTATATAAAGTAAGGAAGATACTTACTTTTTTATGTAATCGACTATTGTTTGACAAAAAAAAAGATCGATGAGGGTTTTGATCATCCATCTTCAAATAGGCGACAGTTTATCCACTGGAATATCTATGAATGTATGTATGTGTTTGCTTTGTTTGCAAATCTTCTTCACATTTCATTTGTTGCACTTTTTTCAATCTTTGTAAAATTGTACGAATTGTGTATAAATTATTAGTAGTATATGTATCTCTTATCTTATCTTACGTCTGTTACTCCTAATGGAGCATAGGCTGCCGACCAGCATTCTTCAACCCACTCTATCCTGGGCCTTCTTTTCTAGTTCCATGCAATTCTTGTTCATTTTCCTCTTGTCTATCTCCATTTTCCGGCGTTAAGTGTTCTTTGATCTTCCTATTTTCCTTTGGCCTTGAGGATTCCATGTGAGGGCTTGTTTTGTGATGCAGTTGGGTGCTTTCCTCAATGTGTGCCCTGTCCACTTCCAGAGCTTCTTCCTAATTTCTTCTTCCGCTGGAGTAGTATATGTATACATATCATAAAATATTGTAAGTCTATGTATATGTATAATGAAGAATTTTTGATTTTTACTATTGTTAGGTTTGTTTGATTTTTCAGTTCTGTAGGGGATTTTTTAAGCGTAGAGATTGACTGAAATTGAATATCCATGTGAACGAATAACGGATCACATTTTTTAAGTTATATGATCGGGTTCGTATGATTTTATTCGCAGTCACTGGTGGGTGATACCAACAAGATTTTATGGAATACCAAGCATCTCACTAAACTATAATGATCAATAAATATGTGAGGATTGTAGAGATTGTTTGATTTGAACACAAGTAAGATCATGGACATATATCATCTATTCAAATATTATTTTCTTGTCATATCACAAGATGATGATATGAGATCTTAATATGCCCGCAAATGCCCTGGTACGGCCGAGGTTGGGGAGAGTTCGCTCTCTCTCCCTCTCTCTCTCTCGAAATGCTCTCACATGGTCACGCGTATATAACCTCTGCCATGGAAGTCCTACTCACTGACTTCTCGTGGCATTATTGTTTACGAAATTGAGAGGACGAAAAGCGAATGTCCGGCGCTTTAACCGGGTTGGTGGATATGGAGTATTCACCTAGGGGAGTTGGAATACTCTGGTTGCAAACCAATGGTGCACATGGGCTCCAGTATCCTGAAGGGACAAATGGCGTATGAACCAAACGCTGGTCACCGGCTACCATGGGACTGCATCTCCTTACGTTGCTCCACTGCTTTGTGGATTAGACCTTCAGGTCGAAGGCTCCAGGTGTGGTCCCCTAAGAAAACCACCTGGTTCGGTTTTGACACCTGGGCAGTATCACAGCCCTCACACATGTCAAATGAAATCTTCGTGGCGCATATGTATTTAGTGCCTTCTTGTACCAATATCTTTGTGTTAAAATGAATAATAAATAAATGGATTAATATTAGTTAAGGACACTTGTAAGCTATTACTTTGTAGTATGGAGCTCGGTATTAGAAATTTATGTAAACTGTCTTTAAATTAATCAATCCTTTCGATAGACTGGAGGAGTCTAGACATTTCACACCACTGTGCCCACATGATATCTAAAGGTTAAACAGTTGGTAAGATGATGAACAAAACAGTCTACTGGAAACTGATTATGTACCTAGTCAAGGTCTCAGCTAATATTATTGTCTTGATCACAATAAAAGATGTATGTGTATACCTATCGTTTGTAGACCATTTTAGTTCATTTAACAATCTTAGCTTTCTAGTCACTTCTTAATCTCATTGGTATCACTGAATCGGTAAGCGTATAAGAAGTGTGTCTCAGTTGAACGGTCACAAGAAATTATATTTCACAAGTTTTTCATCGTGATAATTATTATTTGCTCACCAGAGGCAGGTTTCAAAACGTTTCAGTGAGAGGTAGTACCTGGGAAACCTCAATCATATTGGATATCTAACAAATGACATCAGTAATAGGGAATTATACTTGATAAGTACCTCCGGTTGACTGAATTTGGAACTGTGCCTGATTGCGTAGAAATTCCGATAGTTTATTGGGTTTGATCCCCACATGGATTGTAAGTTCGTACCGCTGAGGTGTTCTACATTGATTAAACGGTCATCTATTACTTCATAATTAAATTAAGGTCATAAGCGTGAATATATATTGAAAGATTCATCATGATAAGTACGTTTACAATGAATAAAAACGGGTCTGTATGAAAGCTGAACCCACAAACTTCAAACATTTGAATCATTGTATTCAGAGGGATGTAAGTATGAACTATATTGTATATTTCCGCAGATTAACCATAGATTCTTCAAAGAGAAGGAACATATATATTCCAGAAAATGTCAATCCAACGTCTATATGTACGGGTGTATAAAGCCAGTTATATTGAACAGTCGTCAGGATCAAATTTTTTATATCATCTAACTTTTATTACACAATGATGGACAGTGGCTAGCAGTGGAATCCGGGACGCGCGTTTCGTCCTATTTGGGACTCGTCAGCTGGATGTACCTGCATCTCAGAGTTGATTTTCACACTTTTATTACACTATTGTCAGAAAACTATAATTTAGACATTTCAAGCTTAGAAACCACATGGTACTCTTGAGTATGAAATATTGAAAGTATATATCAATTTCCTTGCGTTTTAAGTGCTAGACTCTCAACTAGAACAATCGGTATGATCATTGGTTCAAAATTCAAAAAATCTTATCATGGTCTTTTGTAATGTCCTTCATGATCATTTACATAAACTGTAGATCCACTTGTTACATATATCAAATTTCGAAAATGTTAGTTAAGTATAGATGAGATTCACACTAGAGACGGTATTCAGGGATCAGTTTTCTTCCTATTTGCAACTTATCTATTGGGTGTACCTGTTTCTCCATACTGAAGTTACTGTATGTACTCGATCCGACTAACTTCAGCTTTTAATCTCAAGACCTTTGTCTACTGAGTTTAGATAACCACTAATTCATTCAACATTCAAGGAGCGAATGTGTTAACAAAGAATCATTGTAATTAAGTCTTTCATCTCAACAACATGATATTTCAGACGTTTGTTACTAGTAAAAGACAATTTAAAGAAATGGAAGGTCTGTAGAAATAACTGAATAATTATTAAACTATTCAATTGTACAATTTCACGTTCATTAGAATTTGTTTCAATCATTGTGAATTAAAATCGAAGTATATAACAGACTATTTCTGAAACAATTCTTTATAAAGAATAACAGTTATGTGCTCACTAGTGACTAGCATCATGAGACAGTTCTCGAAGTTCTAGTGAGAAACTGTGTCCAGTGCAGCTAATCCATGCCAGGTAAAGACAGGTATCTACCTCAGCACAATGGAAGATGATCGTGCAATTCTGTGGATTGGTTGAGGTTAGACATTAACACCATTGGGATGCCGGCCCATTGGTTTAGAGATTAAGGGTTCGCACACGAGACCAAAGGTCATGGGTTTGAATGCCGCAAGCGGGATAGTGGATGCGCACTGCTGAGGAATCCCAGAATAGGGTGGAACGACCTTCTATTGCTTCCGGGTTTTCCATGGTGATCTAGCTTCAATGGACTCATGATCTCAGCTATTGAAATTACTACAATCTCCATAGAACCCTTTCTGATATTATGTAATTATTAAAAAAAATTTCAAACCAACAAGCTATTAACTATTCGAACTCAGTAGCTTAGTGGATAACGTTTTGATTTTGGAACAAAAGGTGATGGATTCATGTCTTAATAAGAATATTAACATGGGGAAAGAAATATATTCAAGTTTATAGGTTACTCTATTTGTAAGTCGGAAAAAAGACCACACTCATTCGTCGCTATGAATAAAGACTATCCATCTTCTTCAATCCTTAGAAATATACAAACAGACTTCTAAGAGTTCACATATTGTTCTTGATTACGATCAGATATTTAGGGTAAGGATTAAAAGGTTAGGCTTTTTGTGTTGTCACTGTGATCTGACTAGCTATCATGCAAAATTACTTACTATGTAGCCAGCCATATATAGATGAAATCATTTCACACAACAATGTAACAGACTCTATTTGAGCAATTCATTCCTGAACTATTGGAACATTAGATTGAAGTTTTTCTAAGCATTAAAAGTATCGAGTCAAGATTTAAGAATAGTGTTGATTTGTTTGTTTTATCCAATCAATAGATACAGAATTAAGCATATGATACATCTTGCAATATCATTTTTACTACATGTTAGTGGTTCAGTATTAGCAGTGAGATTAACTGAAGTCTTAGGTAGGATTTGGGAACTGGACGCAATCCCATCTGACTGGTCTCAATCACTGATTGTGCCAGTCTATAAGAAAGGACAAAAGTCCACTTATGACAGTCATAGAGGAATCAGTTTGACCAATATAGTGTCCAAAATATTAGCTTCAATAATACTTCGACGCCTAGCCAAAGCTCGTGAAGAGCAGATTAGAGAAAATCAGGCCGGTTTTCGACCTGGACGTGGTTGTATACACCAGATATTCACACTACGTCAGGTTCTAGAACACAGACACACGTTCAGACGCCCCACAATGGTAGTATTTCTCGACCTTAAGGCGGCATTCGACTCTGTTGATCGTAAGGTTCT